TTTTTTAATAATTTGAAAAACTCTTTGTCAGACGGAACAAGAACTTAGTTTAAAAATAATAATATGTTAAAAATTCGTTTAAGTTTAAGAGGAAAGCCGGGTCAACATTCTTTCCGGATAGTAGTAATTCCAGCGGAAAAAAAACGGGAAAGTGGTAATTATTTAGCCGAAGTGGGTTTTTATAACCCCCACAGCAAGGAAGTAAAATTAGACAAGGAAAATATTAGGAAGTGATTAAATTACGGAGCCCAGCCTACGGCTACCGTCCAGAATTTACTAAAAAAGCATTTGTAGGGAGATTTTTTTTTTATCAGTTTATTAGTGCTGCTTTTTTGATAATTAATTCTCTGATTAACATTATTTACTTTTGGCAACAATAACAACAACCTCTAAGCCTCCCTACAAACAATAAAAAAAGATAAGAAAATATTTTTTTAGTTATACAACAAAGTATTAGAAATTGTTATTCCGACAACGCCGCCAATAAAACTATTAAATCCATCAACATCGTCAAACTTTGAATTGTTTTCTCTTAGCACAAACGAGAGAAGCCCAAGCCCCAAAATCCAACCCGCAATCCCCGGCACAGAATTAAAAAAACCGATTAAATAAATCATAAACCAGTCTCGGTGATAGTCTCTTTGTTGGGTTTTTTCTTGGGAAAGTTGTGATTGATTATTCATATTAATATAATTTAATCTACAAATCGGAGAAAAATTCTTCAAAAACTTCGCAAAACACTTTGGCGGAAGCGAGAGGATTCGAACCTCCGAATATTAGAATAATATTACTAGTTCTCCAAACTAGCCCCTTCGACCACTCGGGCACACTTCCTTATTTACAATATTAAATTTTTGCGATTTTTATTGATTTTTTAAAAAGAAAGATTTTTGGTCTGTTTATTCAGAAAAATTAAAATCGTCTTCAGTGATGGATTTGTCGCGAAAAAGTTCTCATATTTCTTCGGTAATATGAGGAGCCAAAGGATTTAGTAGTCTAAGGAAAGACAACCCATAAGTTAACGGAATAACTTCGGCTTTATAACAATCATTAATAAAAGTCATCAGGGAAGAAACTACTAAATTAAGTTTAGTTTTATGATAATAATTATTAACTTTTGCTTTCATTTTTTGGTAACTGGCAACAATTTCCGGTGAGGAAGTGGCAGAGTGGGATACAAATTTTTCTCGTTGTTCCGTAAAAAGTCGGTAAACCCGATCTAATCATTTTTTCGTGGCTCACACGCTTTTAATATTAAAATTAGTGGTTTGTTCAGGCGGCCCTAAAAATACTTCGGCCAGCCGTAGAGCGTCGGCTCCGTATTTTTCTACTAACTCATTAGGATTAATAACGTTGCCTCGTGATTTTGACATTTTTTCGCCATCGGCTCCTAAAATCATGCCTTGGCAAATTAATTTTTGAAAAGGTTCGGGTTGGGAAACCACACCAATTTTGTATAAAATTTTGTGTCAAAAGCGAGCGTAAAGCAAATGTAAATTAGCGTGTTCTTGACCGCCAATGTAGATGTCTACTGGTAATCAATTTTTTAAAATCTCGCGGGCTTTAGGACTGTTGAGAGGTAAATAGTCTTGTTTTTCGTTGTCAACAGAAGAATTTTTTAGCAAAAAAGCAATATAATACCAGCAAGAGCCGGCTCACTGAGGCATGACATTCACATCTCTTTTTCCCCTCAAACCACTCCTATTTTCAACATTTACTCAATTTTCTGCTTTTTGGAGGGGAGAATAATAACGAGGGTTAGGAGTAAAATCATTTAGAGGAGGCAAAATTAAAGGTAAGCTGCTCTCAGATAAAAGTTCTTTTGTGCCATTTTCTCAATGAATAATGGGAATTGGT